CTCCCCATTTCAAGATGGACAGAGATCAACTCGAGAGAGTCCAGCAGAGGCTATGAGTCTGACTGGGGGACTGGAACACTTGCCCTATGAGGGGAGGCTGAGAGACCTGGGGCTTTTGAGTCTGGAGAAGAGAAGACTTAGGTGGGATCTAATTAATGTGTATAAATATATGAGGGCTGGGTATCAAGAAGAAAAGGGCAACCTGTGTTCACTTGTACCCTACAACAGGACACGGGGCAATGGTCACAAGCTGGAGCACAGGAAGTTCCACCTCAACATGAGGAAGAACTTCTTTACTGTAAGGTTTACAGAGCACTGGAACAGGCTCCCCAGGGAGGCTGTGGAGTCTCCTTCCTTGGAGACTTTTAAGACCTGTCTGTATGTGTTCCTGTGTGACCTGCCCTAGACTAGATGGTCCTGCTCTGGCAGGGGGGGTGGACTCAACAATCTCTGTAGGTCCGTTCCAACCCCTAACATTCTGTGATTAGCATCATGCAGGTGTGAAGGCAGGACTGTGTATTAACTACCATGCATGCATAGAAATGCATAGCATGCTTAGCAATATTGTGTGCTATTTCTCATGCGTATCATATCTCTTTCTGTAAGACTCTTCTGTTAAGTAGTGAAGAGGCAAATTAGCAAAGACTCCTCTAAGATATAACTTCATTCTGTACACAACTGATATCTATTATTTAGAAGTCATTAATTGAGAAGCATGTACAGAAATACGCACTTGAATTTGCAGGCATCCAGAGAGGTTGTCTTGGAGAACTGAATTGCTCATTTATTTTATAATTTAGTGATTCTAGTGCTGCTTCACTGCATACAGAACCAATGTATGAGTGAAGTAAGCAGCCACAGCCATATGTTCAGACTAAGACAGAAGGAACAAGTGCTGGAGATTTGTGTCACATTTTCCAAATGCTTCTGTTCTACAAGCTGGGAAACAAGCTTCTCTGAGTCCTGTTCAAGGAGTTCCAGCACATCACAGCAGTGGCCTACAGGAATTCAAGTGCTGTAACCAGCTGTATCTATTTTATCTTGATTCTCACTGCTTCAGTATCTGTAACTATGACCTTTATAGTAGGCTTTGTCCAAAAAAACTCTCTTAACAGTCACAGACACCATTTAATCTGTTACCTGACCAGACTCGTGTCATTAACAAGGCTTAGAAGAAAGCTGATGTGCCCTAAATGCCACTGTCCTCTTTGGTACCGATGGTAAACTGCAGCCTGGTTGTGGCTCTAGGCTCGCGTGGAGGAACAGTAGGGAAGCCACAGTGTCTCGTGCGGGATGTCTCAATGTTCAAAGGCTTTTTAGAGAGTAAGGTTTCTCTAGAGCAGCTTCAAAGAAACTCTCTGGTTTTATACAACTTGTTCTGTTGCCTGCTAACAAAAGCTGCTTCATTCTAGTTCATTGGGTTTTTTTCTTTTAAATGGGATGGACAATGTTCTTAAATCCTCAGCAAGGTGTGTGATGTTTCTTCTAGGACTCGCTGCAAAACTGAAATCAGGAGAGTGTTCTGAGGAACTCTTTCCTATAAGACGAATCTGTACCGTAGAGTTGGTTTGAGAAGTAAATACACTTTTCAAAAGGCCTGTGATTCAGAATAAGTAACTCAAGAAACCCTTCCCAAAGCACAACAGAATTTTCATAGAAGTAAATTCTCATCTGTTATTAGTTTAATTTATTAAACACATTTATGTAAAGTCTACATTGCCTCAGTTTTCATGTTTACACACAGAAGGATTTTTTTTTTTAACTTTTAATCATGATGCAACAAGAGCTTCTCATAGCCTACCTTCCTGTAAGAAATACAAACATTAAACACTACAAGAATTCCTGGCTCATTTAACTCTCTTGTCATTGCCTTCCCTTTATTTCCCTTATACAGGCCTGTATTCCAAAAGTAATTTTTAAACAGTTCGAAGGGAAAGTCTGGATATGAACTCCTGGAAACAGGGAGAACTCCTAGAGAGGTCTACAGTTCTTCATTTGACAAGAAGTTCTTACATGAAAGGTCAATTTTTTTTGGATACTGACTTGCCAAAAAATAATTTTAGTGCCACCACCTAAAAAGTGCTGATACACACAGCACCATTTGCAAGAGTTCAGGTATTTCTGGGATTTCTATTGGTGCTAATAGAGGTATTGTGCAAAATCCTCAAATGGTACTATTTCACCCCACTTTTCAGCTGCTGGCACTGTACAAAGGGGAAAATGGGTATTAGCTACTTTTTTTTTTTTTTTTTTTAAAAGCAACAAAGCTACTCTACCTACAAACTACAGTTAATGTACATGTAAGTTTGTCATGCATCAAAAGCTAAATTTTAACAGTATGTGGAAGGCAAATATGTAAGCATTTAGCTGTATCCCCATAATTTGACAGTTATCCATAAGCAAAGGATGTATGGTACCTTTACTCTGAAAGCACTATCACGCCAAACCACATACTCTGCATCTGCATTATACTAAGATACAAGTCTCCTCAGTACTTAAACATAACCCTTTATTATACATCAACTAACATATTTATGTGGGTTTTTTTTGTTCTGTTTTGGTTTGGTTTTATTACAGAGAAAATGTAGAATTATATAACCATTCTTTATGGTATTCAAATAAATCTAGATTCCAGATTTTTACACGGAGGATGGAATGTCATCTTTTTGTCCACTCTTAACAGCTCTTACAGTTCCTGCTCAAATGATATGGCACATTCTGTGAAATGAAACTAGCCACCAAAAAAGAAGTCTCAAAACACATGAAAAATGTACACGCACAAAAAGTAATTCATATCGACAAACAAGGAATGTTGTTTGTTAAGGCTGTGCTTTAGAAAGAGGGTGTTTAGGGTTAAGTAGCCTTCATCAAGGCACAGAATGGGAAGAGGTAAGCACAGCTGTCTGTAGAAGAGAAGTTCTGTACGACCACTAGTGAGGTGTGCATGCACGCAAACACAATTGAAAACTGCACAGCGGGTCTTCGTAACAAAACTGAATAGAGTCAAAAGGAAACTACTGTGACTTCAATGGCCACAGTTTTACTTCAGTATTAGAAACATGGCAAGTATTTCCAAACATAAAGTTCACAATTTGAATAAATGAAATATTTTAAACAAAGTGCTTCACAGATCTGAACCCCGCATGGTTGTGCTGTCTGGTTTAGAAGCATTTTGTAGACATCATAGAAGCATTTCACACAAAACTGAAAATGTCATTCAGGTGAATAAGAAACAGGACATTTCCACAGACATTTCTAACGTTTTTACACTTTTCAAGTAGTTGAGTTCTTACAGCCACTTGGTTTTGTAACAAACGTGTGCTACAGCAGTATGGGTTCACGGATTCCTTTAGCAGCAGCAAAGGCCTGTTTCAAAGGGCACGTGGTCTTTTCGGGTTGATCTGTTTACTGGCCTGTTCCTCCTCTTGTAGAGCTGCCCGGAAAGATTTCACTTTATCTTTAATAAAAAAGAGAGCATGAATACTGATGTGCCTGTGCACAACACAAATCTTGAAACTAAGCCCTGACACTCCGCATCCCAGCCCTAACACACAACAAAGAACATTCCTCCACAAAAACAGCTGACGCTACAAACTACAAGAGGATTGAGATAAGCTTTAATTCAATACTCACCATACAATCAAGTTGCTTAGCAACTTAGTCCCTTAGATGCTGCCTCTGTCTGCAGGCAGGACAGGATTGGAAACCGCACAATTGCATTCCCAGCGTGTAACCTGTTCACACTTAAATTCTGCTTCTAACTTACAGAGCACAGGGAGATTCACACCACATACATTCTTTTCCTTCCCAGCACATTCCAAATCGTCCTTAGAGGTATCCTAAATTGCACTTAAGCCACTGCTGTACATTCTAAAACCCAGCAGAGTAAACTCTATTACCCTTTGTTTTGCTTTGAAGGTGAAAAGTATTTGTGATTAAATTTTGGAAGTTATTCACTGTAAATTGATAAATGCATCAAGCATTTCATCATAACTATAACAATAATGGGAGAAACCTGAGAAAAGCAGTGTGACATTCTGTCTTATTTCTGTGAAAATTTCTAAGAATTTTTTACTTAACCCTCCTGGGAAGAACCCAGCTCATCCCTCCTGTAAAGCTGTACATGTTATCTTGCTGCCTGTAAAGACACCAGGATCGCTATCTGAGAGATATCTAAGCGTTTACTCCAGTACCTTGTTTCAACAGCAGTATCTATTAAGTTTTCAAAGAACAGGGAATCACTTAAAACTGTTTTTTCACTGCTGGTGTCTCAGATTATCATCTTCTGAAGAGGAAGCCATCATCCATACAAAGCAAGGGAAGGTACCTCCCAATTCTTTGCTGAAGCATACTGGTGCCAATGCATGTTTACAAAGCAAGCAGGCCACATCTGATTTGCTTAATGTAGTCTTCTAACTTACAACAGATAGTCACACTGAGTAAAAATTAAGATTTTATCTTATAAGTAGGTAACACAGATTAAAAAAAAACACCCTCACTCCTCAGCCCCCAACTCCATCCTTGAATTTTTACCAGTTTAGCGTGTCTCCTGGAGTCTAAATAGGTACAGAAACTAAAATGTAAAATTCATTTGCCATGATGTTCCAAGCTGACAAGCTGACTTTAGAAGACAAGTGGTGGAGTCAATTTTGGGCACTAAAAATTATCTACAGTTTGTTTTTCAACAAAGAGAGGCTGACAAAATTCAGACAGAAAGGCTGCTGAAGAAAAAAAGGAAGCCACCAACAAAGCTACTCAGAGCTTGATGCCACTCTTAAGCACAATTTTAAAAGTGATAGGCCACTGACAACAGGCCGCTACACTACAAAATGCAACAGAGCAGGAACTGAGAGTTTCCCAGTACTTTCTCCTCATTCTTTTTTTCCTGCAATTCATTTGGATTTTATTTTTCCTGCCCTTATTGTTTTGGAGCAAAGGAAAAGAAAGGATCAAATTTATACTTCCTCGATGTTAAGTGGAAATTTTTCCTTTGAACTAAAATGAACTGAGCACAGATGTGAACTTGTTCTTAGGCAGCAGAATAACTGTTCCTTCCTCACAACACTGCAGGGCAGCATAAGGGGAAAAAAGACCCTAAAACACAACCACACCTTTTTTTTTCCTCATTATTACTGCAAGTCTACACGACATATTAGAACACACTGCTAATAATGTACATGGAAGTGATTAAAAGCAACCTACCTCTAAGTTCAGTCAGAATATCTATTTTTTGCTCAAGAATTGCTTCAAGTTGGGTGGCGTAAGAGTCCACATCATAGTCTACTTCTTCTGTCATCTCTAGAAGAGCTTTTTCATCTTCCAGCCATCTAATAGATTCCTAAATGAAAGTGAAAAAAAAAAAAAACAATAAATACATTAGCAAAGTTTCAAGACAAGTTTCAAGACACAGAGCTGAATCAGACCTTCTTTCAAGATGGCCATACTTACACTCTCCGGTCACCTCAGTAAAACAGATTTCAATCCTAAAATGAAACCTTACTCCCTCATTGAGCAAAACTGCATGCTTTCTACATTGTTTCTTAATCCTAGCAGCTATACCAGCAACAAGAAAACCCGAGCTACACCAGTTTTACTTCAAATTCAGAACATTAGGTGGTTGTAAAGCTAAGGAACCCAGAGAACAGAACTTTATGTCAGTTACACCCCCTTAAGCAGGTATCAGACTTTGAAGTCAAGCTTCAATTTTAAGTATGGGCTGGTTGCCACTGACTGTAATCACAGTGTCATTACTGCAGTCAAGGAGCCAAGATAATTCTGTATGTAATCAACACCAGTTTTAAGAGAAGCTGTATAAAAGAAGAGCTATTTTATGTTCACTCTTACATGAGCTAACTCCCCAGACAGGTATGGGTACAGTAAAGATTGGTTAAAGCAGCTCCTGTGCATCTTTGCATTCTGAACATTACCAAAAATGCGGGCAAAAAGTCTTGCAGCAAAGAAGAATGCAGCCACGAGCTTAAAGCTTACAGAACCATGCAAACCTGTGATCAGGAGAATTTGGTCCCATTGGAAATGTTTCAATTTAAAACATGAAAGCAGCTAACAGTTCTAAGTATGCTCAGCCTGAAATACTAAAATTAATTTTTGCCTTCCATCCTCAGTAGCCCAAGTAATATTTGACAGCATAAGCCAAACCCCATGTATGTGTTTTGTCTCTCAGGGCAGATAGAGCTCACATGGGGATAGGACTCATCTAATATAAACTCATACAGTCAAGACACAAGATGCAGACTGATGTCTCCAGAGTGCAATTCATTCTGTTCATCTATCTTAGAATTTTTGTTAGGAAAGAGCATTTTGTATCAGTAGCTTCCAGAAGAAAGCTGATGGAAGACAACTTCTGCCAGGTACAGCTAATAGATTTTGTATTGGCACAGCCCACCTCCTCCAACAGCAAAAACTAACAAGCCATGCTGCACATGAAGGGAGCTGAGGCTTGGATGCGTTTGCTTCCAGTGACTGCTTGGAGGCGCAGTAATCTCCAGCAGAAGGCCAGCTGGACACACGGGGCAGCAACATCTTAAAATAATGCAGCTTCTATGTCCAGAAATCACAAGCATTTGGATGGAGCTATGGCATATGACTTCCACACTTCTCCATGTTTTACCTCAGGGCTAGAGTTTTGTAATAACTGAATCTCTACATCTGTTGTAAAATGTAGTTATGTAGCATCGTACTGTATTATAAACACGTATCAACGTTCCACTAAGTTAGATACCTAAATTGAGGAGATGTGTGCATTCTCTACAGGTTTAATGCCCTGCTGTTCTCTTGCAGCAGACGTGCCAAATGGATAACCTGCCTCAAGAACATAAGGTTACAAACCAAAGCAACTCACATTTCCTTCTGGTAACTAGTAACCCAAACTTATTATTACAATTTATTTTGTGAATGTGAAAGGCTTCGTGGCCTTTTACAGACCAGCACTGCACTCCATGGGCAGTTATCCTTCTAAAGACCTTGACTAATAGGCAGTGAAAACCTTCACGTATTCTAGAAAGCAAGCAAACAGGCAGTTAGAAATATGCATCTCTCTTCTGGATCTCCGTATCTCAGAGGAAAACGTCACAACAGGATACTCAGAGGAGATACGTAGAGGGAATATTACAGTTTCTTAGAAGGAAATGACCAAACAGAAAAGGTGCTGACAGACATCACTATTAATTGCCAGCTCTGGCACAGGAACAGTGGCATAGGGTAGATAGTAAAATTAAAAATTTCAAGATCAATCTGAATAAGCTCCCTGCAACTAGAAAAAAAAAAAAAACAGTCACTAATGCTTGGAAAGGACTGCAAGAGAAAATATAGTGAATAGTTAAAAATAGTAAAAAGAAACCACCTTTCTTTTCTAACTTTTCTTACAATGAACACAGTTGACTTGGCAATGTGTGTTGAGAAGAAAAAAAATTCTAAATTTCTGGGATGACACAGAAATACACTTCTCTTTCATCATGGGGACAATGATTAGCGGTTATCGGATCATTCCCCATTTGTTTGCTACAATGGACTTAGCATAATAAAACAGTTTAGACACCAGTTCTGACACCAGCAGTATGACCAGGTAATATCCTACATATGCAGGAGTGTGTCCTTTCATTGGGAAAACCTGAACTCCTGGATTATCATAACACGAAGTAGAGCTCCATCTTTTACCTGGAAGACAGCCCTGTGGTCTTCTACTACTTGCTCTTCCATTTCTACCATTTGTGACACAGCTTCATGGAAAGTAAACAACTGTGGAGAAACTTCCTCTTCCTACAAACAATGGGAAAGCTTGTTAGTCTGGAAAGAGCTGTGGCTACAGGGAGCACACTGAATGTGATCTATCTCATCACAGAACGCAAACAGAAATACACAGAAGGCAGAACCTGTCAAAAACAGAATTTAATACTTCTAACAAGAAAACCACCAGAAATGAGCAGAGAGGGTAATAAACTCAAAAATGTTCACAGAGTTTAAGTTAACTTCACTAAAAATTTCCAGCCATTAATCCTAGTGGATATCAGAAAAGAGAATATTCCACATTAATAAAAACCAGTTAGAATAGTGGGAAGAGGAAGCCACAAGGGAAGAATATTCATTTCTAGTAGGTTTTCATGCCTACAGAAAACTAGTATTTTGGTGAGGGCTTCCTATTTTGCATATCACAATAGGCAGAATTTTTTTTAAAAAAAGAGAATAATTCTATTCAATACATTTCAGGAAATCAAAATTATATTAAACCTTTGGAAAAAAAGTGGAGTAAGTGTAAAGTCAGAAATCTAAACTGTACATAGTGATTAATGCATGAGAAGAATGGGCAAACTGGGGCAAACAGGGCTTCTTTAGAAATGAATAGTTAACAATCAAAGGGAGAAGTGCTAGGCAGGCTGTAAATAACATTTTAGCAAGACAGTATAGTTCCTTACACAACGCCTGTGAAATCTTTTTTAAAACATATTGTAAAGCTTAATTTAATTCAGCATGAACAACGAGGTATGATCAGAAAGGGTATTTGTCTGGAAGGACAGGGGAGCTCTAGGAATCACAAAATGCTAAGGGTCAGAAGGGATCCCTGAGACCATCTACTCCAATGTCCCTGCCAAAGCAGGTTCACCTCGAGCAGGTTACACAGGAACGTGTCTAGGTGGGTTTTGAAAGTCTCCAGAGAAGGAAGCTCCACAACATTTCTGGACAGCCTGCTCCAGTACTCTGTCAGCTCCAGAGTAAAGAAGTTACTAGCATGTTCTTATACAATTTAGAGTCCTGGAAGAAAAGCCAGTTACTAAAATGAGAAATACAGCAGAGACCATGAAGAGGTGTCTAAGAAGGCAGAGAGTCTTGTGAAAAGTAAGTTAGGACAGTAAGGAACTTTCCATCTTTCATCACCATTTTAACTAATTGAGTTTTATCTCTGTTGAACATTTACAGAACCAGGACTAGAGCTGATAATCAGCAATGAGGGGAAAATGCCCTTCAGATGATGCCTCTGAGCTCCCTGATGCTGAGTTCCCAGGCAGACATGCTGGGAACGTGATGTGGCTCTCTCCCAAACAGTGCACTAGGGTTTCGTTTCACTGCATGGAAATCAGGATGGCAAGCAGAGTGATGGGTAGCCAGGTGAAATGCAGAGAATGGCAAGCTGACTTGAAATGGGTGCTACGTGCAGGGAAAATAATGCTGAAAACCACAAGAGTGTTAAATAAAACAGCTTAGTGTCCCAGGATATTTCTAACTGCCTGAAAAAAATATGAAGCTATCCTGGAAAAAAGGCACACCACAGAATGTCAGAGCCTAGTGCAGACCCTACTTAGACATTAAAAGCCATAATGAGCAAGGAAGGTGAAGAAAAATAAAACATTCTCCTGTCAGCCTTCAAGAAACATTTTTGGTCGTGGTTCTTTTTTGTCTGGGAATGAATGAAATGCCATAAACTGAAAAGGTGAAGAGATGTGCTGTATTTACTTAATGATCTTGATAACAGGCTATAAATACACATTACTCTAGACTTGTTCTGACACTGTATTTATCATCATCTCCTTCATTAATGCTGTAAACCACTCACGTTTTGTTCACAGAGCAGCTTGAGATCATCTCTCTGAGGAGAGCTCCCCACACCCCACTGTGTCTCCAGGTCATCAATCTGGTTAGGAGCATGGTGTATAACGGGACGGATATCTCCTGCAGCACTGGGATCGACTGTCAGCTCCTTCACCCTGCCAGCAGAAAACGTTTCATCTGTAAATTAGTAACTTCCTGTGCAAAACAGTTACAACCAAAAATAAAGCTCTATGGGTTTATGCACAATTAATGCATTTAATAGGGATGATGATGTCAGCTTCACAAATTTGTTGTACTTCCAGTGACAAAAATTTTCGTCCAGCTCCTACAAAGCACGGACCATTGAATTTCAACTACTTGCAGGTGGATTACCATCCATTGTCTACCAAGAGGCATATTCTGATGGAAATCTTACTACTCACTAACAATTGAGAAGGCAAAAATCTCCAAACCCTCAAATATTGCTTCTTAACAATGAGCAATATTTGAAAGAAAAGATCATTCAGCATCCTAAACCTGACCATCTTTCTTCTTCTGTGCACACAACTGTGCTTTTAAAACATTAGTCAGTCAGTACTTCACTAGCTGTTACAGAAAAATCCTCCAAGAATTCTGAAGAAAATAGTAATTTACAACCAAGTACCTCAAAGAACTAGCAGATCTTTTAATTAAAATAATTTCAAAGGTAAAAATATCTTATTGAAATCTCAGGCTCTTGGAGCATGAAAATAGTTTAAAAGGCTGATAATGATTCTATCAAAAAAAAAAAAAAAGCCCATTTAAAAGCAAGTTCATGAAACAGACAGGATAAAGCCCGCAAGTACATCAAGTTTTAGAACATACTCTTTTTCTTAAAGGGAAAAACGTTTTTTTCAAGTAGCACCTCTTTACTACAACAGGAATTGTTTTTCATTCTTCTTCTGAGTGACTAGAAGTTTAAAAAAAGATATATGTATGGAAATTTTCTGTTTTAAATACACGTGTTCAAATTACCCTAAACACAGACTTGTCAGATTTGGTCCACTAAATCTGCAAAGGTGACACCACCACTTTTTTTAAAATGTATGAAGGAAACTAGCAAGCTTGGATACAGAGTGTAGATGTTTAAGGGAGGGTGAACAAAATACTGGGGAGATGATTGCAGATCATGCAGAACCATCACCTGCCAAACAAAATAATAAAAAAAAGTATGAGTGACTCGAGGCAAGGGGAATAATGAAAGGTTGGTCTGTAAAATTACAAAGCCAAAAAGAAAACTTTAAAAATAAAGATTCCATGTATAGAATGAAGTAGACCTGGTGATTGAAGGAGAAAAGTCGTCATACTCATAGGAAGGAGAGAGATCAGAGCGACTGCCACTACCCTGTGAGAAGGGAATGTCCGAAGGACTAATTCCAAATTCCTTTACTCTGCAGCAGCAAAATACAGCAGCAAATTAAAAGAAAATGTTCTCATAAACACAGTTAAAATGACATCTAGTTTTTTAGCATAGTTCTTTAATAGTTCAGCTATAAATTCATTTTCATATTACAACACAAGTGTGCCAGCATATTTAAAACTTCTGCAAACAGAAGTTTTACAGATCACTAACAAAACTGAACAAAACCAGTGCTGCTAATTTGAAGGGAACTCTAATAGTAGTGTTTTCAGAAAAGTAATTCCAGATTTCCATTCGTGCAGTTAATAAAATTTGCTCTACATTAAATATTCCACTGCATGGCCTCCTTTTAAAGTATCAAGCCACTAGAGCCTTAAAGGGGCCTTACCCTGCCCCCTGTCTTATGCTGCAAACACACTGGTGTCCAGCACCTAAAAACTAATTATACTATGCAAATGATAATATTGCTAGGAAAAAGCTAAAATAAAAAACTGAATTAAGAACTAAAACGCACAAAATATATGAAGCAACTTCACAGTGACAGGCATTTACTCCATAACACACAAATTTAACAGCAAGGGGAAGGAACAGTTTCAGGGCAACTGTCTAATATACTAGAAATAGGTATTTAATTAGTTTTGTGGTGTCTTCCTCTGGAGCCACTCCAGCAACACACATTCTATAAGGGGTAAAAGATCCAGTAAGTCTTGATGAATGTGCAAGGCCCTTCATTACATTGCTGTAAGCAGGGGAAGTAGATGCCTCCTCCTCACCAGGAAGAAAATCACACAGATTGGTCCAAGCCAAGCGGGTTTGCCACTAGCTCCCTTCATCTTGACACAGAAAGACTCAGATATCTAAAGAAGCTGGTGGTAAGCTTTCCTAGCAGCCCTCTGTGCCCAAATGGTGACTGGCCAGGGTGCCCAGCCAAGCAGGAGCAGATGTGGTTCTGCCCTGTCTTTCACTGGGGCAAGCAGGCCAGTAAGTAGTAGCCTTTTCTGGCAAAACCAGGGTTTCTGATGGCCCAGAGGAGAGTTTGCTTCCTTTGTTCTTTGCAGCAAAGTGTGGGGGAGTCTCTGGGTCACAGGTCTGACTGCAGAGACACAGGCCCTCATCACCCCATCTCCACAGAGATTAAACAGAGGAGAACTGCAGCAGGGGAAGGCTCATTTCACACTCACTGAAGAGAGACCAACATTTTCAGAGAGCAGTAGAGGTCTCAGAGGTGCTGCATTAGCCTCTGAAGGTGCTCTACGGTGATTACAAAGTCACTGTTGGATTAACTGACTCTTTTACTTTGGAGTCTCAGATGTTTGCCTGAAGTTGGGAAGTATAAAATCTCATATATATGTGAAACAGACTGGCAGCTGCATGCAGTTCCACCAAGGGGATGAAAAACAAAAAAAAAATATCATACTGCAGAAAGGTATTTCAGCTAACACCCCTGGGAATCATCATGAATACTGACTCTCTTAATGCAAGAGATGGTGCCTTCAGAGCAGGGGCAAAACTAATAGTGGCATCTCCCATGTTCCTTGCAATCCACATTATCCATCCCTGGATAATGGCTTAAATGCAGTTTCTATTGATTCTATTGTAATGGCTGTAAAAAGTGACAAATTAAATATGACCGTGGATCAGTAATTTGGATTTAATCTTATTAAGAAATGCAAGTATAATAAAAATATTCAGGTAGCTAAAATAATTCTACAACACAGAACAACACTATTCCAAGTGTCAATAATCAACAGCCAGTATAGCTATAAGCAATAACATTTATCATACCTATTTGCATATCTCAATGTATTTAGAGTGTTTTCACAGGATGCCATCCCTGGAGAAATTGTAGCAATCTGGAGAAAAACAAGCCACACATTGATAAACCATTTTGTACAGATGTAAGGGTAAATTAACTTTATTTAATCTCCAGTTTTATTTGAGATCTTCTACAAAAACTGTCTATTATATACAGCTGTCCCTAGACAATAACATCTCATGGAGACAGATGTCAAGTCAAAGCTTCAATTTAATTCTTTTTAACCATATCTGGAACATTAACAATTCATAGAAATTCAGTCCACTTCCCCCATCTCTCTGTCTTGGTAACATCCTGTGTAAATGCACAGTCCTAACTGAAAAAATAAACACTTCTCAAAAAGGAAAATATACAGCTCAGTAGAAAGTAAATTTAATATAGCCTGCAAACAATTGAGATATTATTATTCGTACATATCTTTGTAGGTTGTTTTCTGTTCAACCATACTGATTCGTGTCTGATTTGAGAGAACTATTTTGGTCAGTCCAAAAAACATACTCGGTAATGTTAAGTATGAGTTTAACTGTTTTCCTAAGTATTTCTTTCCTCAGTTTTAAGTTATCTGTAAACAATACTTGATAGCTAAGTTATTATCAGACATATCTGGAAGATATGACCTACCTATAGGTTCTTCCTTTTCCTGACAAATAAAATGCCATGAAAATCCCACTTTCTCTCTAGCACTCAGCAAAAATATTAACTGTGATCAGGCAACAGTGATATGAATGTGATATGAATGTGATATGAATGATCAGGCATCATTGTTTGTCCTATTTCCTCTCAGTAGTCCAATTTTTTCATCTGTGCTCCCTTCAGGAGAGCCATAAAGGCACTACCTGGGACAAACATCTTTATGGTCCTGCACACTAACATATTTTTATGGCAGCACAGCATCAGGAGACTGATACTGATGAAGGTTAGATAATTCTGGTCTTCTCTTACATCCTGCTGCTGGCATTACTGTACAAAAGCACAGGTAGTCATCCTGAGAGGAATTTCTCCTACTAGGGAGAAAGAAAAAATATGTGGTGTGAGTGGGTTGGAAAACCTAAACAGCCTGCTACCATGCAGACTTAAGTTCAAACTCCTAATACTGGTAGACTGTTATCAGCAGTACTCTCACACCAAATCCAAAACACAGCACTGGAGTGGATAGTAGGAAGAAAACTAACTCTATTCCAGCCAAAACTAGGACAACAGCTAGCATCTTTTTTTCTTTTTAATTGTCAAAACAAACAGTTAACCAAATCAACTTACCATACAGGTACGGGAGTTTTCTCCTATGAATGAATCTCTTAGCACCTGAGTAAGTTTGCTTGCTCTGAAAGGTGTATGAGGTTTATTTCGTCCTAAGGCTCTAATACACTCCTGGAAGAACAAATGGGTTTATGCAGTTTTCTTTAACATGGGTGGAATAAATATAATACATATAACTTTCAAAATCAGAAAATACATGCCTTAGTTATGTGGCTGTCCCCTATTGGATTCAAGAAGGGTCAAGGTTTTACCTCTCATTACGTTCAGTAGAGAGGTAGCAATTAAAAAGGGGTCAGCAGCCTTAAATCTTTCTGAATCTCATCCAAAATTTTTACATCCATTGTATCCAACAACAACAAAACAAAACAAAATCAGTATTGATGTTAGTATCCAGACTAAGAATTATCTCTGATTATCAGCTGAAAAAGCCCAAATAACCTACAGCCTCTGCCAGCAGAAGCAGCAGGGACAGGGACACATGTTAACTCTTACCAATTAAAAGCAGTATCTTTGATTCTGGCTCTACCACTGATTTTCTTTATAGCTCAGAATACAACAATGAGCTTTCTGAAAGCTTCCACAGATCACAAACCTAGTAAGTATAGCTGTCTATTGATGCACTCAATATTGGAAGACACTTGAAAACATAAATCATTCCCTGTTTTAAAAGATTCTTCATGTGAAAAACAAGAGAGAACATCTCTTTCACTCATAGGGGTATGGGGCTAAACTAATATTTGCAATAATTTGGAAAGTTCCAGTGAGAAAGACTATACAGATGTACATATTATGAACTTACTATAGAAGTTACAGAAGCAACCACATACAACAGTGCAAACTGTGCAAACCTTGCACGAACGGTGCAAGATCACACTAATCTAAACACCACTTCTGCCAACTCAAAGCTCTTATCATCAGCTAACAAATTCATTCTTATGCAAAGAAAATTAAAATTTCTGTGTTGTCATCATTATATTTTGATCATAAATTCCAGTTCCTGCCTTGGCCTTACAAGTATTTCTTCAAATGCATGGCTTCCTTGGTACAGTTTTAACACATCTATGCATAGAACTTCTTCAAACAACCATACTTCAAAAGCTTTTTAAATTAGAGCTTCGCTTTTATCAGCATTAACAGACAGAATAGCTTTTGTGTTACATGACTAGTTCTACAGTAGTTCAGCTAATCCT